TCGCCAGCTCGCCGCTCTCCCCCGGGTACAGACGGTTGGATCCATGATTCATTTTGCAATGAGGAAAAAAAAAGGAGAGAGCGCATGTGAGAGAAGAAACAGCCAAGACCACTGGGAAATTATACGGTGGAGCGGCGTGGTGGATCTGGAATTAAACGGCATAATTAATCAAGCAAAAAAACAAGCACGTTGCTCATACATTTATTATTTGCATTTTTTCCACTTCAGGAGATGTAATCAGCAGATATACGTTGGGGCCCCTGATCCGTGTCACGGGGACCTGGAGGCCGAGCGCCTATTTCGACCACTGACCCTAAAAGCGTAAAGTGGGATCAGTTCTGCTCAAAGCTTTATTTTTTTCGGACTGACTATTATCTCCACACAATGCCCTCTGCCTCCAAAGTAATCTCCACAACAAGCAGAACAAGTCCCACAGAATCATGTTGTTGTCTCCCTGTCCTTTAAATTAGGGTGTCTGCAAAATTGGGTTCACAACTCTCAGCTCTCTGTGGAGTTGTTCTGCATTATGCAGTGTGTGCACTTGACCCATTGAAAAAAAAAAAAAAAAAAACCTGGCCACTTTTAGAGAGATACTGCAGAAATATCACAGAAATATGATCAGATAGAAGTATAAGGGGCTGACAAAACCATGTAAACACCTCAGGAAAACCTTCATAATAACTAAATCACCAGTGCAAACACGGCTACAAAGGTCACATTAAGTTGCATGTCAATTAGCAGCAAATGCTTAAACCCCTGCACACGACTGTACCTCCATCATACTGCATCCGTATGACAGTTGTTTGTCCCTATGGATGCCATTTTTTCTGTGTTTGGCATATGTTGTGAGGATTTTCAAGACTGGCTCACTGATTTTGCAGTTGGGCACAGATGATTTGGCTTATGTGAAGATCTGTTAGCTGCCTTGAAAACTTTAATGTATCAATGAACTGATTGCCAGGTCTGTTTTATACAGTCTTTATCTGCAGCTGACAAATGACATGCAACATGACCTGATGTTTGCACTTTCTAATGATGATTTATCTGTCATTTTTGTTGTGATGTTTTAAGGGTATTGTTACAAAAAGTTAAGTGCATAAGGAAACCCATTAAACATTTTTAACCCACAGTACCACTCTTTACATGTTACAGACACATCCATGAGCTACAACATGAACAGTTCAGCTAGAGTTAGGTTCTCCTTTCATACTAATTCCATTAATTAGTGTTTGGACTATAAAATAAAAAGCAAACATTTGAGGAATATTGGTAAAAAAAAAAATATTGTGTTGCTGTCTTTTGTTTTCCTACCTTGTCGATCAGTTCACGTCTTCTTAGATTTGTCTTGTGAGGCATCAGGGGTTGGAAACCAGACACCTAAAAGAAAAGTTCACATACAGTTTATCACATTTATGCACACTACATATATAGCTTTCCCACTTTGACTTAGTTGTATGTTGTTTTTTTCTACTCATCTATATTAGACCTACATCACTGGTCTTTTTGCGCTGCTGTTATACTTAATTTTCCTTCTGATGATAAATAAAGCTTAATCTTATTTTATCTTGTTTTATAATAGGGAATATTAATATGTCTGTGCAGCAGTCACACCATCTAGTTATAATTAGCACTATTATCTAAATTAGTAATGGCGGCAGTAAGAGTAACAGGTTGTTGTTATTGTAGGAATATTGATGTGATTTTCTCTCCATTTCTGAATTTACTCGTAAATTATATTTGCTCATCATGCACACCAAGATCTCCTGTGCTTCCGCTACATGTATCTAACCCTCATTATGTCCATTATGCATAAATACATCCGCCAAACCGTGTAAAAAACCTATCACTTTCCGACTGGTCAATATGGCTTGTTCCTGGAGCGCCGTCATCAATCGAGGTATCAATATGGAAATACCACTGTGACCCAGACATTAATCAATGGGCTCCTTCGGGAGGAGAGGGAGGGCAGGGGCACCTAAAATCATCAATGAGACGGATCAGCCCGCAGTCAGACTCGGACAGTCCGTATTGATAAGAGCATTTCCACCTGTAGCGGCCGGAGCGGAGAGACAGGGCGCATCTGAATTCAATACCCGCCGCCGCAGCTGCGAGCTCGAAGCCCAGAAAGACACGGTTGAGCGGAGATACGTGCCTCGACTCATCATAAGGCCAGTCTCCTTTTCTCCATATATCCACCCCACCCACCCCCCATTCCTCCTCTTCTTCTCCGTCTACCTCGCAACTTTCTTTTTTTTTTGTCATGCCTTCCACTAAAGAAGCACATCACGCCCCTAATACTGAGCAACAATGACTTCAAATTAAGTTCTTTGTCTTTATTCGGCGGCTTACTTTGCCGAGCACCCCCACCTCCTCCGCCCCAACACAATCTCTGGAGTTTAGTCAAACCTATTTCCTCCTCCAACTTCAAACTGTGAGAGGGGAAGTGGAGCTCGACATCAATGAGAAAAGTCCTCAGATGCATTCATCTCTCTGTGAGCGCGGGATTAAAGCGTCGTCTCACTGCTGACATCCAAATCTTGACCCAATCAATTAGGCCCATTCTCTGCGTTTGCCTCCTTTACCCAGATACAGAAACAGCAATGGTTGATGGGTAACGTGGGACAAGTCAGCCCCCTAGTGGCGCTTCCGTGTATGCACAAGGAAAAGCAGCCAAAGTGCCTGTGGAGAAACATTTGATTAAATAAAAAAAGGGAATAGAATTGTGACTTAGTCAAATGGATTAATGGGGGCAGTGGAGCTCTAATAGCTGTATTAAGTTGTTTCACTTTGCAAACTGTGCAAATTCATTTCATACTTATGACTAATCCTGCCATTCCTGATGGGTTTCATCCCCACGTTGGCCAGTCAAGCAATGTTAACTATCCCCATATTTGACTTCCAATGACTTCCAATCAAACCCCACACCACTCTCTCCCTCATGACACTTCTTAAAGGTTAGAGTTCAAGAGTCGTGTGTCCTGTGTGCACACAGGCCTGCCCTTTTCATTCCCAATCAGCTGCTCTTTTTTTTTTTTTTTTTTTTTTTTTTTTTTCCTTTGCCAGAATGGAGAGATGCACCACAAAGGTCATGGACATGGATTTCCTTTGGTTTGACTCAATGAAAAGGTCAGATGAGGGCACCATGAAATGGCAGTGAGGCCTTCACGTCGCCCTCACAGGGACCGCAGTCCTTACATCACCCTGAAATGGCACAGGCTGAGCCCAGGAGGGTCTCGTGGGCCACTGTGACCTCGTCTGGTCCCCCCATGTGGCTTCAGTGTCCCTCACCAGTGTGAAGAGACAACAGAGCAACAATCCGGGGCACAAAGATTATCGCATTTGTGTGTGAAATGTTTTAGTGCGCAGTGAGGAACAAATTAATGAACACGCCTTCTCATGACTGTAAATGCCTCTATCTATATTAAAATTAAATATATTCTACTAACAACAGTGTTACACAAACTGTACTGCAGCTGACAATAGATTTTGGATATTGCTCTTTACCTTGTTTTCTTGTATCCAATATAAGTGTGTTTTTGTGTGTCAGTAGGGCCTGTCTCTGTAAAAGTGTATCATGGTTGCTGTGTATTTTTGCTCCTGCAGCCGACAACAGTTTCCGAGTTGGTTGTAGCTCAGATTGGCCATTAATTGTAAGGTCTGAGGGGATCCCACTTTCTTCCTGTCCACGCGTGGAAGTGTCCTTGAACAAGACAACGATTTTATTGTGGATTTAATTGTCATGTGTGCCCATCATTCTACACTCAATAACCCATAATTACAAAGTGAAACCAGGTTTTTAAAATGAAAAACTGAAATCTCTCATTTACAAAAGTATTCAGGTCTTATAGCAATTACAACGTCAAGTCTTCTTGAGTGCTTAGAAACACACCTGGATTTTGTCACATTATTCCATTCTTTGTGGCAGATCCTCTCAAACTTTTATCAAATTGGATGCATGTGTGAACTGCCAGCTTGAGGTCTCTCCACAGATGTTGTATGGGGTTTAAGTCTGTTCTTTTGGCTGGGCCACTGAAGGACAGTTAGAGTCTTGTCCCAAAGCCACTCCAACATTGTCTTGGCTGTATGCTTCAGGTCATTGTCATGCTGAGAGGTGAACCATTACTCCGGTCTCAGGTTGCGTGCACTCTGGAGCAGGTTTTCGTCATGGACTCCCTACATTTTACATATATTAATTACATTTTTGTCTCATCAGACCAGAGAATGTCTTTCCTCGTGCTCGATGAGTCTTTTGAATGCTGTTTGGCAAACTTCAAGTGTCCTGTCATATGCCTTTTACTCAAAGTGGCTTCCATTTAGCCACTCCACCATAAAGGCCTGATTGATGGAGTGCTGCTGAGATAGTCGTCCTTCTGGCAGGTTCTCCCATCTCCGCAGAGGATTTCTAAAGCTCTGTTAGTGACTTTTGGGCTCTTGGGCACCTCCCTGACCAAGGCCAGACGGCCAACTCTAGGATAGTTGGTGGTTCCAAACTTCTTCCATTTCCCAATTATTGAGCCCACTGGAGTCCTTGAAACACTCAAAGCTTTAAAAATGGTTTTATACCCCTGTTCTGATCTATGCCTCTCCACAATTTTGATTTCAGAGGTCTGCAGAGAGTTCCTTGGACTTCGTGGCTTGACCCCATAAGGCGTCACAATATAAATCTGAGGGGTTGCAAGATGATTAACAGGATTGGAATGAGAGTAAACATATTTATGTTAGACTTAAAAATAAGTGTTGTAAGAATTTCAAATGAAGGAAAAACTCTCACTTTGGTAAAACTGGTAATAAGTACACACATACAATGGCGGATAGACGAGATGCATGTCGACATCTAACTATTATTAAATAACTTATTTCTTGACTTTGTAAATACTTAACACAGTCTGAAGTTACTGGAATGAATGACAAATAATTATTTCCAGTCACTGCAAACTGTTCCACATGTCAGCAGCTAATCACATGCAACAAGGAGACAAGAAAAGCAGGAGTTTTACAAGATTTGATTTATTAACTATGATACAGATCACATAAGGCCTTGCTGTATACACCATTCCCATTTAGACAAATTACCATACTCAGCAAATAATGACAGTTTTTTTGTTTGATGTTATCTTTTCAGTTTACAGTACTTCATTTATTATTTTTTTTAATATTTTCTCCCCCCCGCCCCATCATTTCTTAATATTTTTTTTTTTTATCATCTCTTTAAATAATGAGAGTGGTGGAGCCCTCTTCCTTGATCGGGAAGAAATCATGCACTATACTGGGCTGGTCTCTCAGTCGTTCACAAAGAAATTGTTAAAAAAAAAAAAAAATGCTTTGTATTTTTTAATTATTAAAATAAAACATAAAAAGAAACTTTTTTTTTCTATCACCACTGACTAAAGGGCAAAGTGTTAGACCCCTAACATACCAATAAACAACCATTTGAATATAGTTTTGCTTGTTTCTCATTTTAACTTAACAGACATCTGTCACCATTGTTGCAAAAAAAAAAAGAAAAAAAAAAAAAAGAAAAGCAATGCAGCCACATATTACCGCTGAACCAAAGTCACATTTTTAATTCAATTGTTCTTCTAAACTGTCACTTTGCTTCCCATCTTTACCTCGACCCTTTTTTCCACAGTCTTTGGCTGCCTCACAGTCAGTTCAGTATTAACACATTGATATACACAGGGAACGCCACTGGCCGACGTTCACACACACAAGTACCAGTGGTACCCCTCCTTCCTCCCTCCGTCTCCCAAATAATGATCCCATTCACCCATTTGCTGTCTGTCTGTCTTCCCTCCCTCTCACTCTCCCCCATCTCATCTCTCTCACACTTTCTCTGAGGATCAGTGTGTGTAATCTGGACGAGCTAACAGGGTTACACAGAGGGGTAATGACCGCAAGGAGAACTGCATTCCTCTCCTTCACGTTTGTTTGGATCACGCTGGTGTCTGGCCGCCTGCCAAGCACCGCTTGCTAGCATGTTAGCTCAAACCCACCCAAACATTCGCTCTTAATAACTCTATAGCACACACACAAACACACAAATACACCCGCACATAAGGTAAATAGGTAGTGTAGACTGATAAAAGCTCCTTTAAGAGTTCAGTGATTGGTTAAAAGGTTTTTTTCTTTCCTTTTGGGCAGAGAGGGCAATCTAGGGAGACATGCAGAGATGCAATTTAGTGTCAAACAGAATAAGTGACCTTGGCGAGCATCTGCTTAGCGTTAACACACGTAAGTTTACAAGCGCACACTCTTTCTCCAGCTCACACAAACACAGAGACACGTATGCGTGCACACACACACACTTTAAAAAGCTTCGATCAGGGCTCAGCAATTCTCTTCGAGTCCCATCTCGCTGGTTTCTATGGTAACAGCAGGCCGGGCCGAGGAATTCTGTGATGCTCCATTCCAGTCATGCAGACGGATGAATGGACTGTCTGTTCTGTCTGCTGTCTCTCCCAGACCCAACTGTCTCTCTTGGACAGGGAATGACTAGGGGGGAATCTGGTGTAGTGGTTACACTCTTGCAAATTATATTTCGAGTCCACTGAGAGCAGGTTTGAGTCTCCTTTCCAGAGGCATAACACTGTGTCCTAAGAGGACAGCATGCTGAGGCCTGGAGTGGTGGTTGCCAATTATTTCCAACCATAAGCCAAAGCCTCCCACCTGTCAAGGCTTGAGCCTAATTCCTAGCTCTTACTTTCTGGTCTGTAATGCTACATTGTGCCACAATCATGTAAGTCATCATTTCCTCATCTTGGAGGTGGTATGCACTTCTTTACAAATGGCTGGGTGTTTTGGTGCACACAGGGAAGTGAAAACTAATAACAAAAGACAGAGAGGCAATTTCATTCACTGCATGTCTAACCAACTGCAATGTGGCCACATGCTTTGTGGCAACAGAGCCTGGATCTATGTAATCTCAGCTGATGTGTACCAAATTTAAAACTGCAGTTTTTTTTTCTTTTATTTACACTCTTACACGTCATGAGCTCTAAATTACTTTCATCAGACATACAACGAAGATGAATCTCGACAATTGCGCCTATAAGAGAATCTGACGCTACAAAAACCACAGTAGGAAAATGGTGCTACGCCCATGCAGTAGTGGAAGTGAGGTTATGGCTGCAATATTAATTTCTTCCTCTAGATGTCAGTGGTGTGCTCCCAGAGAGAGAGACAGAGAGAGAAAGAGGGTAGGGTGGACTGACAATAAAGTGAACTGTGGCTGTCATGTCATGGCAGCTCCAATTTAAAATGTGCCTTCAAAGTGCTCAGAAAAGTGCTTTTTGAACAAGGTCCTTACTATGAAAACTGCAGCACTGACTCACTTTTAAAACCACCACAGCGTGAGTGAAGCAACATGACAGGTGAAGGTCCAACACTGGAATTATTCCCACTATCTGCCTTATACAGGTAAATTCAGGTAAAACAAAAAGGCATGGATACAGGTGCAGACAGACAGATAGTCAGCCAGCCAGACACTTACACACAAGTCCATTCATTGACAGATAGGCTCGGGTCTGTGTGTTTTCTCAAATGAAGAACATAACAGAAAAACACGATGGGAATGTGAATGTAGAATCAAGATTTAGACCAATTTAAAAAAAAGCAAATCTACTTTTTAAGCTGCTTGCTTTGTTTGTTTACAAGGACAGGGCATGAGGTCAAAGTTCAAACCGAGAGAGATGGGTGGAGCCAAGGGTTTGAGGGCACCCATAATCCTTTGCTCCAATTTGCTGCCCAGCAAGATCCAGTCAGTTGAGATTTTTGTTTTCTGTGCTTGGCATACTGTGTCGACTGAAACTGATTTTGTCTGAGTGTGTGTGTGTGTGTGTGTGTGTGTGTGTGTGTGTGTGTGGTTGACAGATAGGAATGTGTGAGTTGCGGAGGACAGAACATCCTGTTGGGTGAGTAGCAACACGTGTTTCTTATTTAAGTCCTCTCCGTACAGTGGTGAAATAAACAAACGTGTTCAGGACTCGCTCTCTGCCTCCACTTTGTCCCAGCCACGGCCTCCAGGTAGGTACAGCAGGTAGGTCCGTTTGCAAAAAAAAAAAGTTTGCCGGCCAACAAAATTCCCAGCACAGTTAGAGGCTAAGGGATTGAGGAGAATGGTTGTCGGAGGCACAATGGCCACTGGATGTTTGTGTCAAGTGTGTGGCTGTTCGTGTGTGTGTGTGAGGCAATCCCAACATATCAGAGTTCACATTCCCCCTGCACTTGACTTCAGAGTCCCTCCCTGAGTCCCTTTAACAGTTACTGGCAACATCTCACTCTTCATTAGTGTGTTTGTGTGTAGGTTCTCTATAAGGCAAGGAGGGCAGGTCTAGATGAAGTGAGACTGAGAGACAAAGGGATAAAGTGGGGAGGAGGGAAAAAGATCATACTGCCAGTTCAGAGGCTCATCAGTGTTCCCCTTTTCTGTCTTGTGTGTGTCTGTGTCCATTATTCTAAAAGCAACGGAGGCTCAAACACCCCCTTCTTCTCCCAAACATGTAGGTTTTTCTCCCTGTACATACTGCGGCTCACTCATTCTCTCCCATCTTCTCCTCCTACCTCCTGTTCTCATTTCAATTTTTCTTCTTTAGTCCCTTCCCAAACTTCAAGATCTCTACTTCTGAACCCTTAAACCTTTCTGAATCTTGTTATCTTCCTTGTTTTTTTCCTTCTTCTCTTTCCCTTGATCCCTGGTTCACAGCGTGTGTTGTTCCGTAGGGGGGTGATGAGGATGCAGAGAGGGCGGCAGCAGGGCTGGGATTGGGGACTGGGGAGTAGGAGGTGGGGAGTGGGGTGGGGACTGATGTTGGTGTTGATGGTGTTGGTGGTGTTGGTGGTGTTGGTGGTGTTGGTGGTGGTGGTGGTGGTGGATAGGAGGCCCATAGTGTGGAATGACAGGAGGGGTGGCGGGGAGGACGTAGGGAGTCGGGGACGGAGTCGGTGAGGATGAGTAGCCTCCAGCCATGCAGGAGTAGGCGGAGGTTCCTCCCCCAGAGGAGAGCGTAGAGGTGGGGGAGCCGGGGAGGCCGTCTGCCAGAGGCTGATTGTAGAAGAAGTACGCGCACTGGTGGATGAAGCTCTCGATGATTGTCTGGTAGGTGCGGGTGGCAGTCAGAGCGTCCATGGTGGTGAAGTCTGGTCTCATCAGTGTGGGCCAGAAACAGATGGACAGGTTCTCACTGGTCATCAGGTTTACCTTGTTGTTCTGACTCACCCTGGCAAACACAGAGAAATCAAAAAATGAAATGAAGTGACCACAATTAATTTCTTCAGTTTCCACAGGAAACTTGTGATGCTTCAAATGATCTGCTGCTGAGAAAATCTGATGGTGTCTTCTAAAATCTCCACATAAATCAAATTACAGAGCAGGCAATGAAAACAGCAGGGGTCTCTTTTCTAAAATTGTCAGAAGAATCTACTGAGGTGGGTACTGTGCACTGTAGGTTTGCAATGAACAATTTTCATTATATATATTTTTTTTAATTATTTTTTTTGGGCCTTTTATGCCTTTATTGACAGTGCAGTAGAGAGAGACAGGAAATGGGGAGGCAGAGAGAGGGGGAATGACATGCAGCAAAGGGCTATCCGATGCGTGACTCGAACTGTGGCCAACTGCAGCGAGGACCTTAGCCTCTGCACATGGGGCGGATGCTCAACCAACTGAGCTACTCGACGCCCCCAATTTTCATTAATGATTAATCTGCTGATAATTTCCCCCACATCCTAGCTGATCATCATCTTGTTATGTCCACCTAATAGTCTAAAGATATTTAGTTCACAATGAAGCAGAGGAGAGCAGAAAATCTTCACACTGGAGAAGATGAAACCAGAAAATTCTTAGCATTTTTGCTTAAAAAATATTAATCAATTATAAAAAAATAAAATAAAAAAAGTGTATTAATTTGATTACTGCAGCGCCAATATTTTGTCTTTTGTCTATACTTAGGCACAGTGGTGCTGTAAGCTAAATGCTAATGCCAGCATGCTAGCAAGTTCACATTGTTTATGGAAATGTTTAGCAAGTTCTCTTTGTTTAGCTGGTTAGCATGCTAACATTTGCTAATTAGAACTAAACAAAAAGTACAGCTGAGTCCGATAGGAGAATGCTTTAATACTAAATACCTGTAAAATGAATCAAAGTATTAAATTAATTCAATTCATTTAATGAAAGTCAGGGGATCAAAAAAGGCAACAGGCTTCATCCTCTGATGACCATGAATGTCTCTATAAAATTTAATTTCAATCCATACAATAGTTTAGTCTGGACCAAATCAGTGGACCGGTTGATCAACACTTCCATTCCCCGAGCAATGTGCTAACATGGCTAAAAATTCCACTGCTTCAGATATCAAGTGCTTCTACGGTGCCCAGTTCACACTTTCATCCTGAATAACTGTACTATATTTTATCTGTTATACTGGTTCCCAATCTTTTTGGCTTGGGGCATCTTAAGATGATGCAATATGTTGTTATTGTAGACATAAGTTGTGAGCAGCTGAATCAAAGAGTGAGCGAGTTATCCTTCTTAGACTGTGAAGGATTTTTACAAGCACAAAGCAAACATATATTTTATTAGACAATAAAAAAGCAAAAAATAACTGTGTAAAAGACATGATTTTTTTGCTCTTTTTTTCTCTTTTCTCTTTAATTTTCATGTGAGCCCTCAGATTTATTTTAGGTTCTCTTGGGGGTCCTGAACCTCAGGTTGTGAACCACTGATCTATAATATACTTGAGAATACAAAGTTTACCTTGTATCTCTGAAGCACAGGAGTCAATTTGTCATATGTAAGATGACATAGCTAATAACATATAAACATCAACATACAAATAGAGATTAAATAACCACTGCGTTCAACCTCTATTCTGTCAATGTGCTGGTTTCAGTGATGTCACTGCTAGGTCACTTGACCGGCGGTGTAGTCAGCACGGCTGTCAGAGGCCGTCTCAGACCACATCACTCACTCACTTGTTCAAGTGGCTGATGACATATTTGAAGACCTCGTAATTCTCCTTGGGGAAGCGGCGCAGAATGTCCTTCATCGTCTGGAAGCGCTGCTCCCTATCGTTGATCTCTGAATGGTGGCAGAGAGAGAGAGAGAGAGAAAAAGAGAGGACAGGTTAGAGGAGGGAAGAAAAGTGCCTGAAAGAAAAGATTAGGGGAATCTGAGGAAAAGATGTCAGGGCAGTGTGAGGGGAGAGTAAAGAAAAGGGAAAGGGATAGGGGGGTGAGTACAGTGGACGAGAGGATAGTTGGAAGAGCATAGTGAAAGCAATTGGATTCAGCTCTCACAAAAATCTGTGCAGGACACAGTGATTTGATCCTACAATAGAACGAGTTTCACACATCCCTGTGATGAAAACACACAGACACACACGATTCAAAAAGGACTCCATACTACAGTTCTCAGAAAAAAAAAATCAAACAAAGACCACACACATTCCAGAGGAGAAACATACCAAGCATCCGCCCATCACAGTGTCCTACAGATTACAGCAACTCACACACAAACACACACATCCACTGGGTGTGTTAAGCCTGATGGCAGCAAGGAGTGAGTCAGAAGAGCTGACGTCACCTGCTAACACAGTCCATCCTGTGTGTATGTGAGCGAGGCAGAGAGCAGCAGTGAGAACAGCAGATGTTCTCCTCCACATCACAAACATGATTTACAATCAGAGAATTTGAGTTTGTTTTCCCACAATGAGGTCAGTGTGGATCAAAAACAGATTTGAGGCTGAATGACTTCACACAGCCCCAAGTCCACCCCGCTGTACATCCATCATCAGTAATCAAAACTTAACTTCCTACAGCTTATTTAAAGTAATGTCACCATGACAACAGCCACCAAAATCCACCAACCCAGCTTCTTCTAAACCTCCCCCTTTTCTCCACCTCTCGGGCTGGTAACAGTTTAAAAAAAATTAAATAAATAAATAAAATTCTGAAATGCCAAGCCCAATTTGCTATTTCCTACCAAATGAAAGCTGTCTTGTCTCTAACTCCACCTCACTTTTCTTTTTCGCTCTCTCTTCTTTTCCTCTGTTGCAGCGGAGACTGCAGGAGCTTTATCAGGTCTCTGTCACGGCTGAAGGGTCTCGCTGGGGCCGTTAAAAACACAAACTCGCACACACACACACACACACACACACATTTGCGCACACACGCAGTGCTCAGTGAGTGACAGCCTTGCAGCCCTGGGGTAAATCTCTCTGGCAAGATGCAAGACTAAGCTATGCCTTAAATCTCCATTCCGACAGATTACAGGACACAAAGAGAAAAAGAAAGGAGGTGGAGAGCGCAGGAGCAGCCTCATTTATCTAAAATATGACTGTTTTCTCATGACTTCATTTAGACCGCTGTTATCCATAGCGCTCATGCATCCCTCCATCATGTGCAATCATCCCTACATCCTCCTGCTTGTCCTTAAAGCCTTAAAGCCTTGAATATTCTCTCCTCCTTCCCTTTCTCCTCCCTTCTCCAACTCCTCACCAAGTGGCAAATCCAATTCTCCCCATGGATGGATTTGGATTGCAAGAGTTTTGCTTGTTAGGTTAAAGAAAAGTTACAATGAAGGGAAAAGGATTTCAGGCAAAATCCAATACACCTCAGGTTTTAGTGAACAACTCTGCCCACATCCCTGTGCACCCTTGTCCCCTCACACCAGAGCCCCAGGACTTACTGAAGGCCTCCACCAGCTCTCCCTGCATGCTGTAGGGCACCAGAGGCTCCGGGAGCTCTGAGAAGAAGGCCTTCATGGCTCCTGCTACTGTGTTGATGGTGAAGTCTTTCTCCACCAGGTCCAGGTTGTGGTCTGGGAAAAAAAAAAAAAAAAAAAAAAAAATGGAAAAGGACATTTGAATCACACATCACAATCTTACATGTATGCAGTATATAAGAGAGGAAGCCAAAATAAACACCTTATAAACACTTTCCAAAATAACAGCTCTGTAAAAAATACCACTCCTGTGAAGCCTGCTTTGAAAATATTGAGTCACCCACAGACTGGGCTGTAAATTGATACACAACATGAGACAATATAAATTTGTCAACCATTAGAAATTTTTGCTGTACCGTTGTTACTCAAACTTTTCTTCATTTAATGTCCACCCAGGAATTTTAGAGGGCAGGGGCCTGGCACAATACCATCAAAGTTGTACCAATATAAAGGTGAACAAAAACTTGAAAATATGTCTCAAAACTCAACCGTTCTTCCTGCCTTTGACTTTTATTTCATATTTTCTGCTTTTTTGTGCTGCAAAGTGTCACAGTTTGCCTGAACCTGGGTATGGTGGTAGGCATTGCTTTCACATGCCTGCACAAACAGGGCTGCCATAATCATTTAATCACAATTAAGAAATAAAAAAAAAATAGCATCTTTGCTGATGTTCCACTGGATCATTTCTGTTGTTAAACATTCTTGAATAAAAGAAGAAAGACACACAGCAGAGGCTAAAACAGTAAAACCTCTAGACCACCACTATGAGTGTGTATGTGAGGAAGAGGCTTAATTAAAAAAAACTATTTTCTGGTAACTTTTTACTTTACAAAAGGTTGTATGTGCAGAAAGAAAAAAGTAATAGAGATATGGTTAGAGAGTTCTTGAACAGTCAGAGGAGAGCTCCCACTTAGAGCGTTTCAAAAGAGCAGTGCTTCTGCGGCTGCTTTCTGCTGCAATGAGTTATTTGAATCTTAAGGGAACTTATGAAGTGCCGTCTTCAGTGCAGCGATGAGACACCTGTGCTGTAGTTTCACCTGTAATTGTCTTGTCCCGATGGCCTGAGGCTCAGAATGATTCAACCCAGGGCTTCAACTCTGATTATCTGAGCCGGATTTAACCTCAACCAGGCGTGGACGCACACGTACACACACGCATACACAGGCCATCTTGCTCTGCTATCTATCTCGGCAGCGACATGCTTCATTAACCAAACCAATCTGGAGGTAATTAACTGCCTGCAACAGACAGACACACGCATGGAGCCGCACATTGGGAGCATGTGTGAGCATGCACACGTGTGAACATGCACACGCACACGGGAGCAGGTAGACGATTGAGGAGGCAGCTCCACTGTCTAAAAGAAAGCAAAGGCCAATTCCCTGGCTAGAGTGAATGCTCCCTGGTTAATTAAGGGGATTCAGGCTTGTTATAGATAGAAGCAGACATACACACGCTTGCTTTTTCTTTATACCCAGCCTGTAAGTGTACTGCTGAGGCACGAACGAACACATGTGCACATGTATGTGTGAGCACTGTAAGCAGAGAGTAACACACCTTGGTCAAATTGGCGCTGCATGCTCTCCATCTCTGCCTTGTTCCCGCTGACCCTGTAGATGCCCTCTGTGCTCAAGCCTGGTGGAGAGAGAGAGAGAGATAAAGAGGAATGTTATGAGCATGTTATTAGTTATTATTGTGTTTAATTTGCAAAAAAAACTATCAAGTATTCATAGTGGCTGGTCAATCACCTCTAAGATAAATCCCTTTGATATATCATTATGAGGTGTATAGCTTCATTCTGAAGGGCTGGAAAAGAAGAGCTACTGCAGGCTGCTCTAATGGCTTCTCCCCATGTCCTCTTCCATCTAAACACAGTATAAGCACTATTTATTAAACCTATAAAGCACTCCTGCAGGCCTGCTAAGAGCCCACTGGTGCACTGGGACAAACTGAGGCTACCTTAATGCCACACACTTTAAAAAGGCAGTTCTGAGACCATCTGGTAACAACTTCAATCTTAAGAGGTTATTTACTTAGGATCTGCAGCTTTTCTTTAGACATTCAGACAGTCAAACTGCATCCATATTTACTGAAGTGTCACAAGAAGGTTTTGTGCCAGAAAACGGAGGAAAAGCAGCGCCACTAAAATTTGCATGTTTGAGCTCTTGTAACATGCATTTAACGCATTTCTGTTTTAGAGGCACAAAATACACCCACTGGCAGCAGCGGAGCAGAAGAGACTGTGTTTGATATTTTGACATCTGGATAAAGGAGGTGTAAAGTCTGTGGCAGCGTTTTACTGAACACAGAGGGAGAAGTTTATAGGTAACTTTGGTCCATCTAACTTTAGTGACAGCAATAAAGGATACTGCAGCAAATTCAAAGATGCATATAAGGTGACTTAATGAGAGTGCTCCATTCATCTACAACAGTACAAGGCAAAAGAGCAGGAAAGGAGCGGTCTGATATTTTTACTAACATATCATGTCACTTACATATGTAGTCTTAGTAAATACCTCACAAATTCAATGAATTTAATTATGGTGATACAGAACTGTGAACCCCTTGATAGTAATTTGCAGTACTTCCCCTTCAGTCTTGTATTTTAGCAGTGCAGCCACGTACTCAGGCACGAAAAACACAAGCAACCGAGTCAAAGCAGGACAGTGACAGAAAGGAAAGGCACATGGATAAGTGGTGGGAGAGAAAGCTCACTTCATTTTGGTTCATTAATACTTTTTCCCAGTTTACAAAAAGATTAGATTTCACCTCCTACCCTTGATTCCCTCTTCGTTCACACTTTGCTCGCGATTCAGCGAGACAAAGAGCGATCCAGAGGGAGTGAGGGGGATAGGGAGTGGCAGAAAAAGAGGGAGAGATAGAGAGAGGCAGGGAGGAAATGAGAGAGCTCTCAGTCAAGGCATACGGCATCGATCTCCTCCTTCTACCAATCAATTATCCACAAAAGCTTTTCTAGCCAGACACTAGGAAAACAGGGATGGGAGGACAGATAGGGAGAGGGAGAGTAGTGTAGCAGTGGTGGGGAGAGGGAGGGAGAGAGAGAGAGAGAGAGAGATAGTGGCAAACAGGAAAAGCACCCAAAGATGAGAAAAGATAGTGGGGGGAGTGCGAGGACACATAGGAGTCAGGGTCAGACCGATGAGAGAGAGAACGAGAAAAAATAAAGGGATTAAGATAAGGGGGGATACATAGAAGGATGGGAAATGTGCTTGAAACAACAAAACACAGAGAAGATGGAGGTTACAGGAGAATGGAAAGAATGGAAGGGGAGCCTCAAAGCAGTGGGAGTGGAAGAAAAGTCAGCAGATAAAGAGTTTTTACATGATGGCTTGGAAAGGTGAGCTCTCCAAAACAGACAGCAGCATCCTCTTCCTCTGAGGTTCAAACAAAGCACTAGCACTTCCTGGGGTCAATGTAAATACAAGCACTTCCTGCAACAAACAAATGTTTTGTTCTGTATCTTCTTCTTTAGCCGTGATGAAAAGTATAACTTCTTCTGATAACGTTCCATTCTTGTAGGCTATCATCAATCCATACTACAGTGCATATTAGGACAGATGATTCAGCTTTCGGTGCCTTTATCGTCATGCACTGCACATACACACACACATAAGAACCCAAAAACACAACACATCTATGGTGACTTCAGAGCTTCCAACAACCCTAGAGTGACCAGACAAACACTTGGGAACCTGCAATCACACAAACTCTAAGAGTGCGATAAATGCTCCCGCAGTTAACAGCTGTGCTCCTGTCTGACAACACTCCAGCTGATCCCGCATCAGCCCAGACCCCAGCGATTCTCTGGGTTCAGCAGCCCAGAGGCTGATTTCATAGTTCACCATGGAGACAGGCAGTCGCTGGGTGCTGCCCTTTACGTCGCTATGGAGGCTCCTACGGCCAGCAGATATGCCCGCACACGCTAACACACATTCATCACCTCGGCACCCAAGAGCAGAGCGCACTGCGGCTACCACGCTGAGAGAAAGCCAGAGCTGAGGAGAGATAACAGCAGTCACTGTGGATTGATTTTATATAGCTGCTTTTCTACAAGCTCAGAATGCATGAAAATAACTCAAAATACCACATCCACTCCCATTATTCTCAAGGACAAAGGGAGTGAGCTATGAAGCATGAATAAGAGAAGCAAAAAAAAAGAAAGACTTTAGTATAGAAAATATAAAAGCAGAAAACTGAATTTTTCTTCAGTACATTAGCACATGAACTGCCAAAATGTCGATAGTGCCAGCATTCAAATACATTCAGAATTTCTGTCTGGCTTGGGACACTTTTTTTTATATCACAGTGCCCAAGTCAAAGTCAAGTTTTGTCAGATACATGAACACAAGACTGTAAGAGGATTATCAGCGACGCTGGGTTTGGGTTTAAGTTAGCTGTGAGTATTTTTGTCTGCGTTAGAGGGTAAAGGGAAGGATGTAGGTCAAAGTTGCGGGTCCAGGGTCAGCCCCACAACGTCACTCATTATCAGCTCACACTATTGTGACAAACACAGTGTCAGCGCTGTGTGGTAATTTCCTGTGTGTGTCATTATACGCACAGATTGTAGATGCAGATACAGGATAAGTAAAGTCTGACTTACCAGCAACTACAATCGAAACTCAATAACACATTGTAACTCATTTCCCCTTCCAGTCGCAGTGATTCTCCGTCTGGGTCTGCCATCCTGCACCACATGTGTTAGTATGTAAACAAAATGGTTCTGCGCACATACTCCTAGTGGATCTTACTGTAAGATGTGTGAGGCTGCACTACTCACACTTGCATACACACACAAAGAACACAAGCTAAACACACACATAGAAAAGAGCTGAGCCCAAACGTTCATCCAATTTCCTACCTTGTGATATTGATCGGACAGAGGGAGCTATGGGGCAGAACATTACCTGGCAACCCCCTGGCTAAATCGGGCCCGGACACACACACACACAGCATTGATGACAAGAGGAAGGAGAGAAAGAAATGATGGGGGGGAAAGAGATGGAGGGGATAGCAGGAGAAAGAAAAATGAAATTAATTGAGAGAAGTGACAATAGGACAGGGGAAGAAATAGAAATATGGGTTAGGAGGATGATGAAAGAAATCACATCTGACAAGTGAAGGTACTGAGAGAGACAGAGGGCGAAGGATGAGTGGATCAGGAGAAAAAAGGACACGCAAAGAAAGGAGGGGAGAGGAAACGGAGGATTAGGAGAAATACTAAAGGAGTGAGTGAGGGTAAAAAGTGGAAAAACACCTCTGAAGGAGCTGTGCATTCATCTTCATGTGCACACACACACATACACAGCGTGTATGTATAAAAACGCATATTCAACCAGTTCTTCTCCTTCATCCAGAAGTAACTGTGACTGCTCCAGTTAACAGCTGAACAGGCTGAGGTGAAATCTGACGCGATGCCTTGTTATCTAGAGCTTTGCCCCTACACTCCTACACAGAGGAAGGCGCTGGATGTTTTGTAAGGCTGCAGTAACCCGCAAATACAGACTCTTTAATCAGGACAGAGATTACAGTGGAATGCAATGACTTGTCAGCAAGCAACAGCAATGTTTTGACAAACTCACTCGCTCAGAGGCAACTCACATCATGGAAGGCAATAAACAGAGAATTTTATGCAATGGAGTGAAGATAATTTTAGTAAACATTACTTAGATGTGTAATAAAGTCTCCTAACACATTAACCACATTAAGTTAGCTTTAAGACAAACATTCAAACCCAAGTATCTGGATAGTAACGAACACAGACGTCATTGTCCATCTATTTTTCCTGGGAATATGGCGGGGTTTAGCAACCATGGGGAAATTTACATTTTACAGTTAAACTTATAAATTTTAATAGGCTGATTCCATTATTTTTAGACCAAATATTTTTCCCACGTAGCAATTAAAAAATCCTGCACACTGTCTAACTTGGAATAAAGAATTTGTTTGCAATGTTTCAGTGCTAGATTTTCATCAAGCAAATGCTTTTTGACCATGAGGAGCCATCTTAAATAGAAGAGGCTGTAAACTTACAACCACTCACATCACCCCACGAGCAATAGAAAGTAACAATTATTAAAGCTCAATTCACTATATAATAGTTTCCGATATCTTACAAAAGGGGTAGAAGATTAAAAACTCCATGCAGTGACAAATAATAAGTGTGCCCTTAATTTTTTCCACATGGAATAGGTAAATTACTGTAAAAAGATAAATGATAGCTGAAGGCGCATAAACTACATATTTAAGAAATATATACTCATACAAAGATCCATCCCCAAATGTTTCAGGTTACATTTGTAGATGAACCTCTGAGGGATTAATAAATGTTATTAAAAAAACAGCAGCAATGCATTAGTAAACATAAAATAAATAAGATCTCTCAAAATTCAAGCGGGCAAAAATATTTAACTCACAAATCAAATATACCTGTACTGTATCATGTCTGCAAGTAGTTCCTTATAAAAGGCCCCATAAAGATGGCAGGGTCAGACTTTATGATATGCAAATGTTTTTTAAAGCAGATCTTATTGTAGCAGTAGGATACATGTAACCGAGTGTGTCTTCCTGCTCTTACGCACCTGCCTCACTAAATAGATGTGAAGTGAAATAAATAAGCATTTCACTATTACTATTAGTAGGTAAATGTAAAATAGAGAAATTGTTCTGGGACGGGTTGTTTAGATAGGTATTAGTTAGTTCTGTTGAGCTGATAAGCTGTTGTTGATTTCCAGAGGATTTTAAGAGCACAAGCAAATCCTCCACTTAAGTAAAAGAGCAGAAAGTGCAATTAAAGAGCAAAGTAAATAAATAAAATCTGAAAAATTCAACGAATACAAAACCTTGAGATGTTTGGCAGTAGAGGAGTGGGAGACTGACTCATGACTTCACTCTTTCTACAGTCCTGGTCACAGCCCAGCCAAGAATAAGGAGATGTGTGCTAACATCTATACACATGCATTGACCCCGCACTAAGTCGCCTCTGGTTTAATGTAACAGCTGGTGGCAGGGTGAGAGGCAAGCTGGCAGTCCTGGGGCAGTGGGGCACCAGACCAGACTGGCAGGGGGTTTGGCATCTGGGCAACAGGGTACCAAGGTTAGATGAGGCTATCCAACCACAGATGTGGTGGATAGCTGAGAGGAGAGGAGAGGAGAGCATAGGAGAGCAGAGGAGAGGAGAGGAGAGCAGAGGAGAGGAGAGGAGAAGAGAGCAGAGGAGAGCAGAGGAGAGGAGAGGAGGGGACGTTGTTGATGGTTGGTGACAACAGACTGAAGACCCGTTGGCTAGAACACACCAAACCAACAGCTAATATACGTCATAGTTAAGGTTAACCTACAGTATTTCAGCTAAATGCATACAACCACTCTAACATTACACTCCATTGCTTCAAATCCTCCTTGGCTTTTCTCATCATCCCATTCATCTGAATGTGGCTCTGATGACTCACTCTAAAGCTAGCACAAAATACTTTGACTGTGAGACAGACAGCCACCGTGATTGGCTATTACTTGGACCAGTTTAGGAGCTTCCACACAAACAATCAGTAATGATATTCATGTAATATGCATATGCAAATAAGTACCTTTATCATAGGCTTTATTACACTTCATTTTGCTTTTTTTTGCTATTGAGGTTATGGAGACGTAAGGTAACACCAAAACCTGATTCATGTCCCTGGAGTTGCCCACGAGTAAAGCCTACATCTGAGCCAAACACTACGCTTTATCAAACCTGAACAAAGAATAAGGGAGACACAAAAGCACAGATGCATGTGCACGTTCACATAGACACAAAGTCTGAGCACGATTCAAGGAGGATGACAGAATTACACTCTTAGCGTTGGTAGGTACAGTAGGTAACAATTCCACCAGGAAGGAGGATTAAGATAAGGAAAAAATGCAGGGAAATAAAAAAAATAATAATGCAGGGAGGCAGATGCAGCACACACAGAGCAAGGATGGATCCTTTGAAATCATTTTATAACAAGTAATTCTTAAATGACTGAAAACAACAGCCTTTGCTGTGTATGACCGGATGCCATTAAGCATCTGCAGGCGCCTTAATACGTAAAGTAGAACAGATTTGTACCTGTCGTTTCAATGAAACGGATGCACTTCTCAATGAAGACTGGGATTGGCCTCTCAGGGGTGACCACGGTGGCCAGTGGCATGCCGAAGTAGTTGCTTTCATTGGGTTTGGAGATGGAATGCCTCGGTTTCGCTCGTGGTTTCTGGGGAAAAAAAATAAATTAAAGAAAGACAGACCAGATTGGTGGGAGCACAAAGCATCAACATTATTTGAGCCTGATTGACATCGACACTGCTGACACAGGCACACATTTCCAAAATGACACTGAACCTAAAGGCATTGTTATTAGAATGACTTGATTTAGATGGAAAAGACCATGACCTTATTTTAAGGTGACTGTTTTTATGTTAGAATCTATTGAGCAAAAAGGCCAACACACACACATGCACACATACACATCCCGCACAGTCTTTCAAACCTTAAAATGACAAGTAATCATACATTCCTGTTTTGAGCCCTGTTGCATGCATCAGTGAGATATATATCAGTTCCTTCATCACTCCGGTCTCTTCATCCTTGCCCTGCTTCCTTTGGCATTCAGTGTTTCTCTTTTGCTCTCTCTCCACTGCGCTGCAACTCTCAGATAATCAAACTCTCTTATTCATTGTTTAATTACTTTCTAATTCCTGTTATTCTCCTGTTAAGAGACCTCCAATTCACTCCTGTAACATTCTCCGCCTGCTTCCATATGGCTGAGGCATCAGCAGTAATTGTACTGCGCTTTAATGGTGTTCGGTGGGAATGTTTTGAAGGCCCCTGAGGCCTGGATCTCTAGTAAGTCTGTCAGCCCCCTGAGGCTCTGCCCTGGCAGGTTGGGTGGTGAGGAAAGGATGCATGGTTGGCTGGGCACATAGACTGTGGGTGCAGTGCAGGGCTGACAGACAGACACAGGAAAAGAGCAGGAGTGCTCATTAGAGAGAGGGGAGCCCTGCGTGCCCTCTGCTCCAGATACTGGCCTCACTGCACTCCACCAAACATGTTCGATAACACATATACACACACTCACTTACAGCGCTACTGAAGGAAACAAGCAGGGAAACACTAATTAAGACTGACCAGATCAACAAGGGCTCACCTGGGCTTTTTCTGCTACGTCTGAAAACTATTCTGTTATTTTACTTGTCTTTCAGCCGGCTCAGTATTGCTGAGCTATCATCTTTCATCAAGTGTCTACCTAATAGAGCCTAACTGATACATCTGCAGCCCCTATATTATTGGCTAAATGTGGAGATATAGAGATACAGATACATTGTTATCACTGCATATGTTAAGAAATACCAAAAAGACATGGCTAAGCAGGGAACCTGCAATAATAAATGTTTTATTGATAGCATTCTTATATTTGTAGCTTTTCTCAGGTTCTATTCAATTCACATTCTTTATACTTTAATTTAATGTGTTTTTCTTTATTTTATTCTTTTTTTCTTTATTTTGTATTTCTTTAAAATGCAAAATGACTTGTATTTTATGACGTTTACAGTTCAAAGTAAATGTTACATTTCCTGTTATTTTCAACTGCAAGTCAACCAAAATTGGGTTCCTTGTTGACTTTGTCATTAAAAACTGAAATCATGTAATGATCTTGGCTATTCTACATATACCTAATTCCATGATGCATGTGTCTCTGCTATGATAAACTATGCTGCAGGGGTGTGGGGCTTAAACAAATCTAAAAGTGCAGACTCTATACAGAATAGAACTATACAGTGCTCTCTGAAGATACATAAAAAGGTGTTTATGTGGAGTAAATAATACAGTTCTACATGGGTAAAAGAGCTTTACTCTGTTTCTAAGAAGATCATGCTGTATATTTAATAATAAGTGTTGTTATGTTAATTTTCATAAAAGTGCCCTTTTATTGTAGTTTTGAAGAAAAGTGGTTTGAAAACATTGTGAGATTGTGAATCACATGTCATATCTTCTTTATCTCTAGAAGCCAAAGATCTAGTGTCACATTTGGGAGCTGGTATTCTTCCTCTGGCTACTGACGTTTGTCAATTTAAAAACTTCCAGGAGGATTGCATGATCTACTTGATGTGGGTGAAGTAGAAAGTGAGTAGTAATTTTTTTTGCAGTGCACCCATTATGATAATTTAAAAAGAGCAAATTCTCCATGAAATGGCTGGACAAAACCCTGAAGTGTTCTGGTGTAAAGATGATCAAAAATGTGTTTAATGCCTTTGAATTTAACTTTGCTAACTTTGTCTCAAAATCCTAGAAAAGAAGGTGAGATAGATTTTTAGTTGGTATTTACTTTCTGATTTTTCCAGCTACAGATTCATCAGTAATTTATGAAATCTGTTATTCATTCATTAATTGATTAATTCAATCATTCATAACTTTACTCAGACATGTCTTTTATACAAATTTGTTGGCCTGTAAAATCCAGTATTACAAGGCTCTTCTATCTAGAGAGTTTTTCTATAATAAGCTGCAGAGAAAAGGGCACTGTCACTACTTCACCTGTCAAATTGGGGCTCAAGTGACATGAAAAAATGTCAAGAGATAACTTTGCAACACTGACAGGTCTACTGGAAGAGTCTACACTTCATTCAACAACGCTGACAAAGATGCTGCGCTGAAATATGTAGGTTAAATAACTGAAGGCTTTCCCATCAAGTCAGTGACTTTTGCCCAGTTATCTTCCCATTATAACTACACATGAGCAAATTCCTAACTGGAAACTCCTTCACCTATCGCTACCTCCCCCACTGCCCTGGCCGATCCCTCTGTGACACCCCCCTCTCTCACATACAGACGCCTTTACACTTGTGTTTTGTAGCTGAAGATCTGTGCATATAGGCCTACAGTACATATAAAGTGTGCACTCATGTGTTCATCTATGCACAAAAAAACCCACATGACTATTTCACTGAATGAAAAGGGGTAGTACTAAAAAGACACAATGCTACAAGCCTCACTGGCAGCTTGGTTTTTTAGCTCCAAAGGAGCAGCTCATAATCTATTTGTGTCCTATCACACTGACTGTGCTGTATATCTGTGCCCTATCTCAGTTTAGCAGACTGTCTCTATACTACCCCCCCCTCCTTCTCTCTTCCACCCACTTTTCTGTCTTACTGTCTTCTCCCCCTGCAGTTTTGCCTTCTGGCCACTCCTTTTAGTTGCTGACTGAGACAGGATATGTTGCCAGCGCTGAGAAGACAAAACAGACCTCTACCACAAAAGACAAACAAAACATATCCTTAATAATAACATACAGACACCATGGTGAGCGTTTACATACACTGCACACTGTAGGATGCTGAAACCCGAAGCCACCATCCATAAAGAAAAAAAAAAGAGTACCATCATTTCTAAAGATTCTCTACAGCTCCATTTTATTTTTTTCCGAGGTTGTGTTTTTTTGATTGTCTCCCTCCTTCTTATTTCTTGCATGAGGACACTAGACTGGAACTAGGTGACTGAGGAATTTGAAGCATTCCTCTTGCTGGCTGAGGAGGTTTGAAAAAAGCTGCAGGAGAGAGAGAGAGGAAACATTTCCGGCCTCTCACTGAGGGAGGGAGGGCGGGACAGAGACACAGTTGGTCATTGCCTGAGGTAAAGAGGGTTTTTAAAATGGGCTCTGAGTTTACTTTCAATTATTTGTTCCTACCTGTCATGACTGAGATTGGTTGACAGTACCCTAAGGTTCCAAACAGGAAAATGTTTATACTGCATAAACCCAAACCTTCACTCTAAAACCAACTGAAAATCTGAGTTTGCGTTAACCCCCGACAAGCTCACTAACATGAACGGCTGTTTCTATTCCAAACCCTGGTCACTGCTACAATGCATCTCCCTGAGACGACCAAATAACTCAATAACATGTCATCCTGAGGGGATTTCAGGCAGCAGCAGATTGAAAATGGGCTTTAATCTTTGAGACAGCTGCTTAGAAAACAGGTGATGGAACTCTATCACTTTGTTACAACCACAATCAGGCCATTATGGTCTGTAATGTGGATATCCAGATCCCAGACCTGCTGTAGGGCACAAATCTGAGGCACTAATTAGAGTAATGATGATGACACTGATCTAAATTCTGCTGGCTTTCATTTTCTTGGGGATTTGTTCAGGAACATGTAGGTTAATAATGCGTCATGTGACACTTTATTGATCCCCTTTCGACTTGCCCCCCTCTGAGTGCACGGTCAGAGCATGGGGTCAGGCAAAAGTCAGTGCTACTGGAACTTGAATACTTACTATCATGGGGCTTGGACTTGACTGTCCACTTCACTGATAGTCAGTTTGACCAATAAACTACCCCGCTGCCTGGCATTTGAGATGGGCTTACACACAGACAAATGGCACTATGTCAGTTAGTGCATAAAGGAAAGGACGTGGTTTAGGCAGTAAGGAGCTATGGGAGATGACAGACTTCACACAGGTACTTGGACATTACAGCTGTGTGTGTGAAAACATTAATCATCCTACTCCTGTTCCACCCTGCTGACAGCCATGGTAATTATCACAGACGCACGAGCACGACATCCACAGCTGTAACTCCTATTCAGCTGGCACTTCTGTGCCACGCCATGTGTTTGAATGAACAGCATGCCAGGTTGATAAGCCTAACAGTGTAAGGTCAAAAGTATCACCACAGCACATGTGAGAGACACAGACAGAAATGAACAGGAGAGGGGTAGACAGAGGCAGACAGAGGAACAAGTGGGAGACACCGGTGTGTGCAAAAAAAAAAGAAAGAAAAAAAAAGCCTCCAGCAGAAAAATAGAGAGGAGAGACAGATATGAGGAGAACATAATGGGAAGAGAGAGAGAGAGAGAGAGAGAGAGAGAGAGAGAGAGAGTGACAGGAATATGAGAAGCAGAAAGTATGAATCAGCAAGAAGGGAAGACAAACACTGTGAATATGAGAGAATGAAAGGAAGGAAGCAAAGAAAGCCAAGCTGACATGGAAGAATTGGGAGGCACATACTTCACTGAAATACCCCAACGGTGAACAGTAAAAAAACACTGTCTCAACTAGATGATACTAATGCTGATCATAAGATCACTACTGGCATGTGCACTGCATCCTTTAGCAACTATCTTGTCAAAGGATGCAGTGCATGTGCCATCCAGACAAGAAGCCATGCTACAAGCGAGACTGAAGCCAGGGTTTCACATTCCACAATCGGGTTTTGTAAATTACAATTAAAGAGTCAATGTTTTATTTCTGGACACAACTCTGTGCTGAAAGCCTCTCATTTTTACTACGATCATTTCCTTAACAGCAGGGGTGTTAACAGCTAATGTGCCGAGATGTGACATTAAGTTTAATTTCTCCTCATGTGCCAGTAAAATAAGAATTGTAAGATGGATGTTGATGCTTTCAAAATCTTGGTGAAATAAATGTCAAACACTATTATGTCAGCTCTAGTATAATGGGAAACCTGATGTAACCAAGCAGACATACACATGTGCATGAGCAGATAAAATAGCACAGTGTATACACTGTGGCTCTGTCCCTATTCATTAAGAGTTTCTGGCTTCTGGTTATAGAAGTTTAGTGACTGGAATTTGTCTCTTTTTGCTCTGATGATCTGGCTAGTTTAAAGGGCTCCCACAGAGCAGGCAGGGAAAAAAACATGGCAAACATGCTTTCAGAGGGACCCCTACAGTATGTTTTCACTGAACTAAGCTTCAGAAAGTAGAGCGATTATACTGAACTCACTAGGTATTCCTAAAACTTAGTGATAAACAGAATTATCCAACAAAGCAAACAGGTGTTGAATCTCTGCCAAGGACCAATTATACTGAGGATTTTGGACATTCTGTCCAAAAACAAATACATCTGCATACATATTGCAGATAAAATGGTACAACATCCTGTATCGCTAAAGTAGTCATTGATTTGAGTGAGACTTTGCTTGGATACAATTTACAAAAAGTGTTTGGCTCAAAATTTCTGCTATTAAAAGACACTTTACCTGCCAAAATTCTTAACTTTGGCATGGTACTTTTCAGTTGGAAGGTTATTTTAAGCTTTAGTTAAGAAAACACGTAACATTTTTAAATTAATTAAGTGATTTACTTGGGCAGGGGATGTGTTCCAAAACAAATTTAACAAGTTAACTGTTGTGTTCAGGAACAGTCAGATCAACTAATTAATTTTAAATCTTCTTAATTTAAGATGTGAAACTTTTTTTAGTTACTTCACATAGTAGAGACGTGTTTGCATAATGAACCCATATATCATTCATATTTAATATAAACATACAGATGCATGAACACAAACCTTCGTATTTCTGCGCAGGCTCTTGAGGATATTCCTCCTTTTGGGGTCCTCACTCTCTTCAATGGAGTTGTCCTTTTGGGCTCCTCCCTCATCCTGGCTAGCCTTGGGTGGACCCCCCATCTCATCATCACTGCCTATAGAGAAGCTTGTCCTAAAACTGCTGAACTTGCCAAGCCGTTTGGATCTGTCTCTGTAAAGCTTAGGCTTTACCCCAATGGCGGACAACTTTCTCCTGCGCTCGAGTGAGCTGCTATCAGCCTCACTGTCTGACCCGTTCCCCCCAGCGCTCCCGTTGGAGTGACCTTTGTTGGCGTTGCGGATAGTGATAATCTTTCCCTGTGTGCTGTCATGAGGGACAGAGTAAATATTCTCCTCTTCTGTGGGTCGAGGTTTGCTCACAGCATCCATGGGCTCTGCGTAGTCTGAGGGGTCATAGCCACCATCGCTACCTGGAGCCCAGGTGACAGCTTGGGGCAAGGAGCGGCGGTTGGTGCCACCTTGCTGGTCCATGTAGGGGCTGAGATTAACTTTACGTACAGGCTTGGGCTTCACTTGAGGAGGAACCTTGTTGTTAAGTTTGCTCTCAAAGGTGCTAAGCTCAGAAATGACAGAAAAAGTATCACTTGAATCCAGATCTGGCAACTTGAAGCTTCCAAGGTGAGAACTGAGACTACTATCCTCCCTCAGGGTAGGATAAGGAGGTGATGGGTCGATATCGTCCTCTGAGTCCATAAGAATGTTAACTGGACTAGGAGAGCCACAACGAGGGCTGATACTCTCATTGGTACATGCCTCAGCCACATGATCATACATGTGTGTGGCCTCAACAATAGTGCGCTTCTCTACCACCTCTTTGAGGAAGGGTTGGAAAAGATCTATCTTATGAAGTCCCCCTACTACCCCACCATGTCCACATATTACTGTGTTAAACCTGGCCTCTATTTCATGGGCCAGTTCATCTCCCTGACTGACCTGCTCCTTAGCTGACTCTGAGTCTGACAGCTCCATCTGGCTTTCCCCTACTGCTAGCAACTGGACTGGGATGATGTCTTGGACCTCACACAGGAAAGCACATAATGTCTCCATAGAGGCCTTGCGGCGTGCAGAGTAAACTGCGATGTAGCCGTGGACCAGCCTGGTCTTACGGAGGGAGAATGAGGAATGGAAAGAGAGTATTGACAGCTCAATATTCTGCCTCTGACCTCCTATACTGAGATCCAGCAGAACGGAGGTGCCACTGCTGAGAGTAGAGGCAGGACGACAATGCTGGGGCAACAGGAAGGGAGCGAGGAGCTGGTCTAGGTCATACGTGTCTCCGCACATCAGGCACATGACTATCCTCAGGTCTGCCTCCAGCACTGGCTGGGACTGAGAGTCCCTGAAGGCAGAGGATGGAGGGGGCAAGGGAGGGGAGCTGCTCCCTACGCTTCTCCGTGATTCTAAGAGTGCCTTCAGCATCTGGTTGATCTGCTTCTCACTGACATTGCGAGTGTAACCCATACCTGGAGAGGCAGGGTCTAGGTATGCACACTGAAGCTTTCCAGACACCTGCTGCCCTTGTTGGATAAGAGTCTGAGCCGTCTCCCCCCCAATATCTCCTATGGACCCCACCCCCCGCTTGGTGACCAGAAGGAGGGACAGCGGGAGTTGGGATAAGCTGTTTTCCCTTTCCCTTCTGTTTATAGTTGACTCCCTAAGCTTCTCTATACTCTCGACAACATACGAGAGGGATTCCTTTGAGTTGTACAAACACAGGCAACCGTGGGGTGTGAAGGTTGGTGTGTGGAAGGAATTGACTGGCAGACGTACGTTGCCCTCAATAGGACGAAGGGTTAACTCATACATCTTGCCATCTAACACGTACCGGTCATCACTGGTGCACAAGGCCCTTATCTCATTTGCCATTTCTCTGGCTAACCCATCTTTCCCTAGGATGACAAGATTTATCCGTTCAGCCCTTCCCCCATCCAGTCTTGAACTGTCTGATGAGGGGTAGCGAGTAGGGAATCTGGAGGCCAGTATCTGCTCTATCTTACTGTCCACACAGTGGGGACTGTTGGGACAAGTGTCCTTTGTGGGGTGGTAGACAAAGTGGATATGTTTCAATACCAGAGCATCCCTTTCTGCCTGCAGCTTCTGCAGGGCTTTAAACCTTTGCTCCTCCCCCAACACCTCCTGAATGGCTCCCATTTTCTCTTTACTTGGCTTTGCATCCACTTCTAGCTCATAAAAGAGCTCAGAGTATTCAAGAAGCAGTTCCTGAAAGTCCTCTTTGGCTCTGTCAATTATTTCCTTCTGGTGTTTGTTGTAGATATCCAGATATTCAGCCTCATCCAGCCACTGGTAGAAGTCTTCATTCATGATGAAGCTTCGGGCTTCCTCCCAGGGTTTCCCTGGTGTGATGAAAGGAGAGACACTTAGCTTCTCCTTGAACTCCCATCTCATCTCAGCCCGTTTTCGCTCATTCCTTAGCTGCTCCAGGTGGGTCTCATAGATAATTTCAGCTGCAGGGGTCTCCAGAAGGTCCTGGGGGATTCGATCATCCTCCATGTTATCAATGTGTGGTGTGGTCTCCCAAGGGGTGTCATCTAGCACTACAAACCAATGGGAGAATTCTCTCTTTGTCTCCAGGACTTTCTGAACTCCAGACCAGCTCAGGTGATCTATCTCATCCAACTCTGGTAACAGTGAAGACAGGGCCTGTGGTAGAGTAGTTAGATAGGCCTTCCTGCGTTTCTCTATATGCTCTTGTTTAAGTCTGTGCACATGCTGCTGGAAAAGCTTCTTGGCTTTAGCTGTCCCCTCAAGGAAAACATAGTCCTTGTACTCAGGGGCAGACTGCATGCGGCGACTGACAGTGGGCCATGTCTCATTGTGGTTCTTCACGATGCGGTTGACCAGCCACTCATAGCGGTCTTTGGCTGAGGCAATTTGTTGACTCTGCTGTTTCAGTGCCTCAAAGTAAGGGATAATTTTGGGCTTTCCCCTACCCTTGTCTATTAGCTGAACCAGTGTAAGAAAAGCTAGGTCAACATTGACATTAGAGCGTGCTGATGTTTCTACCACCTGTAGGTTCTTCTTGGCGAGGGCAAAGGTGTGTGAGTCTTTAATATAGCGCTCAACTCCTTCATCACATTTGGTAAGAACCAGTACCACAGGTTTCTTCGTTTTGGCTAGCTGGTTGTACAGGTTGGTGACAAACTTCATCTGGTCCTCAAAGCTACGGTTCATACCCCTGCTAACATCCACACAGAGTAAGAAGCCATCCACCATAAGCTTGCCTTCAGGCATCTGTTTCTGCTCAAAGTCCTGCTCCAGCCCCAGCTGATCTGTGCAAAAGTACATCAGTTTCTCAGCTGAAGCTAGCTTGGTGGAAGCTGCCCTCTTGATGTAAGGCTGGAGTGCCGTGCTTCGGTGTGGCTGGAACGTCTGATCATCAATGAACTCCGTCTGCTCCACCACATTCATACGGCATTCTGGCCCCTCCTCCATCGTCCGCCCAGCCTCACCCCAGAACAGGAAGTGGTCATTGTTCACCACACGGCCTCCAAAGTCACTGGTGCTGAGAACGGAGGTGTGGTCTAGGTAGAAGTCATCTGCACTTGGCCGGACAAAGCGGTTACACAGGCAGGACTTGCCCACACCACACTGGCCTTTCTCCTTCTCCGTGCCGGACAGCCCAACCACGACCAGGTTGTAGGTGGGTGCCCGGACATCTTGCTTTTTGGCCATCATCATCGCTGGCAGAGGCTCATCCTGCCATGCTGGCCGCTAGCTTTAGGGAGAGGAGGAGGCTGCCAACGAAGGAGGGTTTCCATGCAAGGGGAGCTCACTGGGCTGGGGTCTGGCCCTGCACGATATATATAGAGAGAGAGAGGGAGAGAATGAGGAGATATAATTAATCTAGAGAAATACAGAAAAAACATTCCATTCCAATGACAGGCTTTATTATTAGAGAGCTATTGTGTCTCTCATCTAAATTCCTACTGTGTGCCTATGGGCTGTTAATAATGTTTAATCTGTGATCCTATTTCTCCACTGAATGTTTCCTGAAAAGATTGAGGTCAGAGGCAAAGCTGCTGGAATGCTGCACATTACTTAACTCAGCTGTAGCTGAGTAAAAGGCAATTTTTCCCCATTTAATTCATTTAATTTTTACACTGCCAGGACTGCACTGCTTTCACTGGTCCCTTCCACATTTCATTCCCATGTTATTTGAGACTCGATATGTGTTTTGGCTTATTATCTGACATCTAACAGTATGGTTGGTCGTCTCACTGCCAGCAGCAGTAGAATAAAGTTATGTGGGGTTTTCGCTATCGCAGAAAACAGACACATGAATGTGCAAACACATGCGCACACGCACCACCACATACTTTTGAAAACAGGCACACTAAGCGCCCTGCACCCCAAATGAAAGACACACACAAGAAGATGAAAGCAGATAAGTGTTCCAGAGCTGAAGTTACTAATTGGCCAACTAGGGAAAGCCATCTGCATTTAAAAAGGCTGCACTGCCTGTTGGCTGACTCGTCTCCATCAAAAACATGTTTTCCTATGTTCCTCACCCAATAGCACTCTGCAAACAGATCAGAGTTGGCTGATGTACCATCACTAATGCCTCAACATATTTACCTACAGTAGAGGCAACAATTTGGTGCTGTGCTGACAAGAAATAGCGCATATACTTAAGAACAAACATAGAGGCTTAATTGACCAGTTGCAATATAATTTTATCCACTAGTAGATCAGACCTAAAAATAAATAAATGAGAGAGAAGACAAGAGGCGGGGGTGCTCTTTATGGAATGGCCTTCTTTGACAGCGCAATTTGTAAGGAACAAAAATCTTCCAATGTTGTGAGACAGCCAGCACAGAGACTTGCAGTATGAGACCACCCCTTCCATGTCATAACTGAGGCGTTAATGTAGTAAAACAGACATTAAAACCACTATTAATCATGAATAGCTCTTTTGACAGAGAACACAAAAGCAGACAAAGCCTTCATTGCTGCTGAATTGAGTTTGTCAGACAACAGAGAACCGTGGATGCGCAAAGATGAACTTCAAAGTGTAACACTGCTACACCAGAGGGCTAGACAATGAAAAGGAAGCGGTAGGAGGAGAAAGAAACTCACTACACTGGAACACACTGTAGATAAAAATCAACCCCACAACTACCATGTATCAACTATTGCATATTGTGTATGTGAGGGCAACTAATTGAAGTTCAAAGCTGACAGTCATAGCAAAGCTTTGAAACACAGATCTCTAAAGCAAAGTCAAATCAGGCTATGAATTAATACTACAGAGACAAGACCTCCCCAGTGTTTCACCAGGTGTAAAACCAAGTGTCAGGAGAAAAAGGAGTCAATATCAAAAAGAATGTCTTGTGGTTTTGATATTTGTAGAGGAAACATGCATGAAAAATGTATCAAGGTGCAGAGACACATACCCAGTCCCTGCAATAACAAGGTGTGGTGTGTGTTGTGCTCAGCCCAGAGTTGCTGGTCAATATATTCGAATAAGTGTATGACCTGGGAAATGCGGTTAATTCGTGGCCATGCTCTTTCTGGACTCTCTTGGAAGTATTTTTTACTGTGTACGTGTGTATTAGCTTGTCTGTAAATAGTTTAAGCAGGGCAGTGTATATACAGCCTTGACTAGATGAGAAGAACTGCAGGTGTGGAATCTATAGAGCTGGAGTCAGCAGGTTAAAAGCGCACCTGTGTCCTGACCTAGTCATGTTCACATTACAGAGCAGACAGCCTCTACTACAATCAGCCATAAAAAAACATGACCTGCTGCCCCTGGATATGGTTCACTGGCTAAACAGAACATGTATCCAGCCTGCTAATCAACTTTTTTTTTTTTTTTTTTTTTTTTTAAATAGTGTATCTACATGATCCCCTCCTGCGCTAACCAGTGACCAGATGTAAAAATGAAATGGTCACATGTTAAATATATTCCATATGAAGTCCACTAATAATCAGTAACGGTTAATAACTGCTGTCTTTTCAATTTTGTGCTATTGCAATAATGTGTGGCAGATCTCATTTACTGTATTCTCAACTTTGTATTTTTCCTTTTCCATACATATTACCTATGGAAATATATACATTTTTCCCATAGAGACTTCAGGTAGGTGTGTGAGGTCTGCTGTTGCAAAGGTTTCTGTGAACTGTATCTCTGCACAGAGTGAACTGTTGTGACATGCTTGAAGTAGCTGCCTTCTGAGCTGACGGAGGGTGTTACATTAACAGATAAGTAGAAGTCATGGTGTAGACCCACATTAGCACAAATGACCTATATGAGCTTACACATAAAAATACACACATGCATGTGCACGTACACACACACACACACACAACTCTAATTTTATCAACATCCTAGTGATCACCGTGTCATGTGTGAAATAGGTCATTTGTGACCAGTTGTGAGAGTGTGTGGATTAAATATAGTCAAACACTCCTAAACTCCCTATGGAGCTGGAGGCAAGCCAAGCTCAGCGCTCTCACAGATGCATTGCTAACATCTGCTTCAATGACCCCACCTATCTAAGAATGTCCCGATGTGTGCACTGTGTTCACACACACAGTGCACAAGATCTACAAGTTCATACACATTTTGTGACAGTCAACTAACGCAGTACTGCACTACAGTGCAGGTTAGGTGTGTGCTTATGTGACAAAGAGCTGTGGCACTTTTGCAATAACCTCAAAGGGAATAGCAAACAAAGCGGTATTGCAGTCTTCTTTTTCTCTTTTTTTTTCTGGTCTGTCCGAGTGAGATGTCAATGCGAGAGGCAAACAAACAGCTCAGAATTCAGTCTTAAGTGATATGAGGATGCAATGGGTTAGAACACAGCAGCAGACGATAATGGAGGAAAATAAAATGCCTCACGAGACTGACTGCTGTGCCCAAGCCAAACTGACAGAAACATAGATTATACAACCTCACAATTCAGCTTGTTGCAACAGCCTGTCTACTGGCAGTCTAAGTGCAGCATTTCATACACAATAGATCTAGTCATTTAGGGAATACACTTCCTCTTTCCGCAGACCTATAAAGACACTGCTGCCTGTGCTTTACTAGCCTCAGTGTGGCAGTCCAGTTGCAGAGCAGTCAGGCAGCCAGTCTCCCAGTTCACCCTGAGGCCTGGTGTCTGGTGCGCATGTCCAGCCACATACCATTGTCTCGAGGCCCAGGGCTGTTTAGGGCTAAGGCAGTGATAGGTTAGGGGCTGTGTTGCATCTGCCTCTGACCCTGAAACATGAGCATAAGCAGAAAAGGAGAGGTATAGAGAGTATGAGGAGGTGGAAGAGATGCAGGAAGGAGTGGAAGGCATTGGGGGAGGAGACAGGGGGTGGGAAGTTAGTGCAAACGGAGAGGATGGGGGGTATAGAGAAGAATGGGTACGAGGGGAAGGGGATAGAGGTCAGCGGCCTGGGTCATGTGAGCTGCACATTGGAATCCCCTCAGGCAAGAGGGGCAGGGCGTGGTGAGGCCTGGATGAGTTGGCCTGATGAGAAGATAGGATGCATCTGTAGGGTACTGGAGTGCAGGCTGAAGTTAACGCTGGGGCTGCAGGGCGTGAAGTTCATCATAACACGTGCTACAAAGGGCAGCAGTGAAGAGGCTGTGTTCACCACCCATGAAGAGAGACCATGTAGCTTTCACGGGGTGGCTGCATTCCTTTCATTACAAAGTTAAGAGGAGTTAGCAAGGGAGCATTGCACAGGAGTTTGAAAGTTATTGTCAGCCAGGCCTGTTTTGATATACCAAAAAAATCCTTACTGCTTTGACAGATTAGCTGAACTACAGACTAATCAAGGGTGTAAGTAGGATCTCAGGAGTATGAGGAAAATCCAAGTCAAGAAAAGTAGATGTTAGGGAACTGATAAATTCTACACAATGTAAAAGTAAAGCAGTTTGGAGATTATATGAATATTATATGTCGACAATAAAGGAGGAGTTTTTCTAATATAATACAAATGAGGGTGAATATAGAGGGGGGTACTTTGGAGATGTTCTTCATGGTTTTCCTTAACACAGTGCCAAACATATCACATATTTCTTGCTGACTGCCACACAGCTCACATTGAAAACTGCTAAACCAGGATAAACAAGGAAGCCTGCTTGCACGGTCCCCCAGCAAGCCCTTCGGTTGTACAGTATTATACACTCAGGAAGGCAGGGAGTTGACAGAAACAAAGGTCATGAAATAGTCATGAAGCAGTGTAATGGTGATGATGATGACAGAAAGGCAGCAGGGAAAAACTCTTATTCTGTAAGATACAGGATTGGCTGGCCCTCCCTTTGCTTTAGTACAAAAAAAATAAATGGTTTTCTCTCTATTTTTCACTCCCTCTGCCAGATGTAAGTCTGCAGCCAGTTTTACTTCCGTTCCCTTCTTTTCTCTCTCTCGCTCTCTCTCTCTCGTGCTCTCACCCACAACATAATCGTCATCATACAGATTTCCCATCCCCATCTGTCAAGATTTTTTTTTTTCCAATTTTAACGCTGTCTCCATCAGTCTCTCCCACATTCCTCTTCCCTCCCATCTTCTCGCCCTCTCTGGAGACTTGTTGTCCATTAGTAAGAAACTGGGGTCGTGGGCAGAGGACTGAGCTGTGGGTGGGTGGAGGCAGTCTATGCACTGATACCACTTCCTGTCAAGCTCTCTCACTGGACACTGGAGCATGGATGAATACACCAAATAAAGAGGGGGTAGGTGGGGGTGCTGATGAAGACTGGTCCAATACAACATAATGTAAATATATAATGTGTAACCAGATATAAAATTACTCAAATAAATACTGTATACATGCATATGTAAATGCCACCATCCA